TTTTTTTTAAGTTTCTGCTCATTACCAGGGAAAAAATGCTTGCTTGATTCGGTTTCAAGCTTTCATGACATGCCTTTTTTGGGTTTTGTTTTTGTTTTTCCACTTTCACTAAGATGTTGACTTTACAACAATTGTTTTTTAACCTCGTTAAAAACATTGTTAAGATGACTTTACGGTTTTGTTTGGAACATGAATATTTGGTTAAGCCAGATGAACATATCCGAAAATTCAAATGTGGAGTCAATTTCTTGACTTGCAAAATATATCCAAAAACATAATGAGTTGTTTTCATAATTAAAAAACATTTTTTTTTTATATTTGAGTCTACTTTCATTTTTTTCTTCACTGTTTTTTCTTCCTTGTTCGAGGTCTTGCAGAAGCATCAGGCTACCAAGAGAGTTCAAATTAGCAGGTAATTTTCAATTCAGTTATTTCCAATTTCCTATGATGTTGACTTCACAATGATTGTATTTTAACTTTGTTAAAAACATTGTTCAGATGATTTAATATGGTCTTGTTTGGAACATGAATATTTGGTCAAACAAGATCAACAATTGTGATTCGACTTAGCTTTAATTATAAAAGTAGTACTGGGTATTGCTGAAAATCAACAAAAAGTTTAATTTATTGATATTCAAAATTGATATTATTAACTTTGTTTGTAGGTGTATTACGCTATTTTTTAAGATAAACGGAACTATTTCAAACCCTGCAAGTTATCGTGTTATCTTCCTCCTACTCCATGTTGACTCCGTCTTCTTCATCATCTTCTTCCATTTATCCATGGAAATACGACGTTTTCTTGAGTTTTAGTGGTAAAGATACCCGAAAGAGCTTCACGGATCATCTATATGATGCTTTAAAACAGTCCGGAATCAACACTTTCAGGGATGATAACGACCTTGAAAGAGGCGAGGACATCGCACCGGAGCTCTTGAAAGCAATTGGAGAATCATGGGGTTCAATAATCGTTTTTTCGAAAGGATATGCTTTTTCAAGTTGGTGTTTAGATGAGCTTGCCGAGATTGTGAAACAGAGGAAGGAAAGGGGACATCAAGTTTTTCCAATTTTCTATGATGTTGAAGTCTCGGATCTAAGATATCAAAGAGAGAGGGTTCAAGAAGCCTTTGACATGCATGAAGAGAGATGTAAGGAGAATAAAGAGAAGTCGCAAAGGTGGCGAGATGCTTTATCCCAAGTGGCTAATATCAGTGGATGGCCTTTGAAAGATCAGTAAGTTATAACTTCTTTTTTAATCTTTGGCAAGTTCAAACTCAAGGCCTTCAATCCTTGACTTGACTCCAGTAATACTAAACTAACAGTTAATTGGTAGTTATAACTCTTTCTTTCTTTACTAAAGTTTTTATTTTTTATTTTTGGTAATTTATCAAATAAAAAATGTGTCAACAAAACTTTAGATTTAATAAAAATATAGATTTTAATTGATCGCTTATGTGATATCATTGTCATTTTCAGTTTCACTAAGGTATATATTTTTTTTATAACTATAAATGTTTGTTTTTTTTTTTTGTAGGTATGAATCGAACTTCATCAAAAATATTGTTCAAAAGATATCAACAAAATTAGATGTCCAAAAATCTGTAAGTCATTTTACAAAGACCATACATTTGATTATTATTATTATTATTTTAAATATATTACATCTAGTTAGTATGGTTATCCGCTAATGAAAAATGAGTTACTAGCTAAATCTATTATATATGACATTAGGTTGTAAATTTAATAAATTAGGATTAGACCATATTTTAAAATTACCATGTTAATTTAATAGGACCTCATTCATGTTATTAATGTGAAGTCATCCATTTTTATTATGATAAGTTTTCATAATATATTGTATTTTAATTTATTTTTTCTCAGTCAAAATGGTTTTTTTTTTAATAAAATGATAGATACTAGTTTCTTACAATGAACTTTTTTTGATGAAATTTTAGTAGATAAATAAATCTGATATATTATTATATAATAAGAATGACTCTTTTAAAAATTTAAAAAGAAATTAGAATTCTTACATGTACATTTAGACGTGCACATAAGCTAATCCTACTTATTTTAAAGTCAAAAGCATTTTAATTTTAATATTGTTAAATATATTTTTAAAATAAAAATTTGCTATTAATAAAATAATATAATTAATCAGACAAAACCTAGGGCCTAGAAACTTAAGCCCAAGCTTGCTCTTCAGGCTTGAACAGATAGCCCAATTATTGAACGCTTCTAATATACCTTACGTAATCTAATTATGACTATTAGACTAGTGAAAATGGCCTACCTTTTATTCTTTGTTTAATATGATTTGTATAATTACACTTCACACAGAACAGTTTTGAATTTTTGATTCATTTCTTCCGTTTACGGGCCTTAATTTTACGGTACTTGACAATCCCAGGCCTTAATTTTGTGTAATCTGCTGTTTCTTATTCTTAAGAGCTGACGGTGTTGGTGATATAAGTTAAAGAAATGGCAATTACAATGGAAAAGGCCCAAAAAAAAAAAATCAAGAGCTAGATTGTAACAGATTGGAAGAAGAAAGCAGTTAGAAATGTTTATACTAAAAATAATTTGATTGTCAAAATTTGGATTGTAGCAATTATATATCCACAATAATCTATAATCTCAAAGGCTTTTAAAGACACCATCTCTAGAGATGACAAAGACCAAAAAAAGAGGTGATGGGATGGAGAGCAGGGGAAGCTTACTTTCCTTTACTTTTGTTGTAATGCCCCTAATCTCACGCTGCACGGTGGTTTGATGTGATTTTAGTCTTGTGGATAGACTCGATTTGACAGGAACGTCAAGTGTTAAAGATGAAAAAATTGTAACGTCCTCAATCTCACATCGAAAGGATGTGTGGATAATAAATGATATATATGTATAGATTTAATTCTTGTGAGACGTCTTTTGTGAGATAAAACCGTGAGATCTTATGATCAAAACGGAAAATACCTCGTAAGTTGGGTATGGATCTCTCATTTGTTCAGTATTAGAAATAGACTTTCGGAAAATAGAGTAGTATAAACCATGAAGACCAGATGTAAACTTAGAATACAATTCGTATGAGTGAATGATTGTTGAATCTTGAAAGTAAAATTTATCATGCAATCGGAATTTTATTGCTTGATTGTTCAAAAAATATTGATTAGTGCATTTCATAAATATATCTTTAACTGCAAGACGTAGAAAGAACACATAGTCATCTGCTTCTTTTTGAATATGTTGTTTCTTATGTTGATCACCGAACATAAATATCTAATACTATTTCTACTAATATCTAATACTGTTTCTTATGTGCTTCTTTTCTATGATAAATTTGTTTACCTGAGTTCTTTTAGAGATGTATACACCTGAACATAGCATTCTGATGTACATATTGGGTGTTTTGTAGGTACTTGATCAGAATTTAACTATTCTGAAGAGAAAATTGGAGGAACTAAATGGCCTGAAGGAGGACAATGAATCAATAAAGAGTGGACAGCTGCAACCAAGAAAGAAACTCAAGAAAGAAGTTGAGATTTGGTTTCGAAATGTTGAGAGGATTAATGGTGAAATACTGAATCTTGAAAACGAAGTTAGGGGAAGCAATATTGTCTCACGTGGATTCCTTGGAGAAACCGTTTCAAAAAAGATACAAGAAGTTGAAGAACTTCATCAAAAAGGGAAGAACTTTGATGCTTTGGTGATTGACGAGCCTCAGTGGATTGGACAAGTTTTGTCAACAACAAACTTAATTGGTGAAGCTGCTAAAAAAGTTATGAGTGAAATTTGGGCATATTTGATGGATGATGGTGTTTCAAAGATTGGAGTTTGGGGAATGGGAGGATCGGGTAAAACAACTATCATGAAGCTCATCAACAACCAACTTTTGAAAGAGACTGAAAAGTTCAACATCGTGATATGGGTCACCATATCAAAGGAGTTGAACATCTCTAAAGTACAAGACAGCATAGCGGATGCTATGAAAGTAGCCGTTCCTAAAGATGAAGCAAGAACAGCAGGGTTCATATTCGAAAGGTTGTCTCAAAAAGGCAAGTATGTGTTAATCTTGGATGACCTATGGGACAAACTTTCTCTTGAAGAAGTAGGCATCCCTGAGCCTTCTAATGGGAGTAAACTAGTGGTAACAACCCGGTCATCAGATGTGTGGCGCTGTTTGGGTTGTCGAGAAGTTCAAATGCGTACTCTTTCAAAACCAGATGCATGGAGCCTATTCTCACAAAAAGTAGGTCAAGATGTTTTGAATGACCCACATCTCTTGCCCACTGTGAAATCCGTTGCTGAAGAATGCGCTGGTTTGCCCTTGGCTATTGTTACAATAGCAAGCAGCATGAAGGGTGTACGGGACATTCATGAGTGGAGGAATGCACTCCATGAATTAAATAGACCTGAAGAAAGTGTGAGTGAGATGGAAGGGAAGGTGTTTCAACAGCTTCAGTTCAGCTATGATCGTTTACACGATGAAAAATTGAAGCATTGTTTCCTCTGTTGTGCATTATATCCTGAAGATAGGGAAATACAAACACATGAGCTAATAAAACTTTGGGTTGCAGAGGGGCTTGTGGAAGAAATGGACAGCATGCAAAAAGAGGCTGACAAGGGGCATGCCATATTGAATAAACTAAAAAACAGTTGCTTGATTGAAAACGGTACCAGATATCCGGATCGTTTTGTGAAAATGCATGACATTTTGAGGGATATGGCATTACGTATCACAAGTACAAGACCACGGTTCTTGGTGAGAGCTGGATTGCAGTTGAAAGAGATACCAAAGGTGCAAGAATGGAAAGAAGATTTGGAGAAGGTATCTTTGATGCTGAATTATGAATTACAAATTCCATCCCAAATGCCACCACCAAGGTGTCAAAAGCTCACAACCTTATTGTTGTCCTATTGCGGTATGAAGAGTATTCCAGAGTGTTTCTTTGAGCAAATGCATGGACTCAAGATTCTTGATCTTTCTGAGAATTATATTAAGAGTTTGCCAAATTCCGTCTCCAATTTGGAAAATCTCACTACATTGTTGCTTGGTGGCTGTAGATATTTAGAGAAGGTGCCATCTTTTTCAAAACTTCAATCTTTAAAGAAGTTGGACCTTAGAGATACAAAAATCAAGGCTCTCCCTCATGGGTTGGAAAGGCTGGTAAATCTCAAATATTTTGATTTCAGTGGTACGAGCATAACAGACGTGACAGAGATGGCCGGTGGAATCTTGCCAAATTTCACATCACTTCAGCACTTAGCAATACAGAATTTTAACGAAGCAGCTGACAGATTCTTCGGAATAGGAGAAGTTAAAGGAGAGAAAATAGGTGGATTAAGGAAGTTGGAATACTTTGAAGGGGGATTTTTTGACTTGAATGAGTGGAACAATTATATCAAAGCTTTGCATGCTCCAACAGAAGGGCCTCGTCAATACTACATTTTTGTGGGTGCAGCAACATTTGTTCCCTTTCAATCGGAGTTGAAAAAAGTAATTCAATTACGTCGTCGTAACATCTGCACAGATGGTTTTAAGGTCCTACCTGATGTTGAGGGCTTGGAAATTGAGAAGTGCATTGTCGATTTGTGTGAAGAAGAGGCATTTTCCTCGCGGTTTATCTTACCGCCACATAATGTTTTTTCCTCTCTTTCTGATCTTTACATAAGTGAGTGTAAAAATATAAAGAAGTTGTTCTCGTCCAATTGGGTCTTGCAGAACCTCCAAAATTTGAAATGCTTATCTGTTCAGCATTGCAAGGATATGGAAGAAATAATAGCACCAGAATCAGAATCGGAGGAAGAAGTAATAAGTGCCATCAATTTTACTCTTCCCAAATTAAGCTCATTGATTTTGGGTAATCTACCAGAATCGAAGAGCATTTGTAGTGCAAATGGAGTAATGGTTTGTGATTCTATTGAGGAGATTATTATAAGCCATTGTCTAAATTTGAAGAGGCTGCCTCTGTATCTTCCCCTGCATGACGATGGCCAACCATCTCCCCCTCCTTCTCTTAGAAAGATTTCAATTTCTCCATCGCCGGGGCAATTGGTTGAGTGGGACCAGCCAAATGCCGAGTCTTTGTTGAAGCCTTACTTTAAGTGGTGGCAGTTACATGTACGTTGAAATGTCTGACCATTACAGCGTTCACTGTTACTTATTTATTTTCTGTTGAGACAGGAGGAAATTACTCCTGACGACAATGGTAGCTTATTTCTAACACTTTCTTTCCTTCTTTCTTCTTAATCTCTCTCCATTTTAACTTTCTTATATGTTAATATCATGCTTGGCCTTTTCAGTTTTCCTGGAGATCTTAGCACGTCGAGGATTATTTGGAGGCAGCCGGCAGCATCTCACACTTTGATATTCGGAACTCCCTTGATGCATGTTCGTTTCAAGTCTCTATTTCTATCCTTCTTGTTGACGTTTTGGAGGTTTCTGAGAATTTAGGTAAACATGAACAATTTTGGTCAAACTCTTTGATTGGTTGATCCTTGTGCTCAGGTCAAATCTTGATTTTTCGCTTTTGTGTGGATCTATGATGAATTTGTTCCAAAAAGTTCATGCAATTATTGTGTCAGAGTCTGGTTTGATGTATTTTCTTGGTGTTGTTACGATTATGGTCATGGTTAACATTGGGGTTCTTCAAACTCGTCAATGTTATGATTCCAACTCTTGGTATGGCCAAAAATTTTCAATTTCATATGGAATGGTTTTGATCAGAAAACCAAATTTGAATATCACCCATGTTACAATTTCATGAATGGGATATTAAAGTGAGCCTGCATAAAAATTGATTGCATCACAATCTATATACCGCTTTCCTTTGTCTAGATTTTTACGCTAATTGGTCTTGAAGAGCTCACTAATTGGCCTCCTTCTCTATTTGCCTTTATTGGTTGTTATCCTTCCATCAGTAGATCAAATCAAACAATTCTTGTTCTCATATAAGTTGTGTGGGCACTTTAATAAATAGCTCTCTAAATATTTTCATGTGTTTGGATTGAATTATGTTCCAAACCATTTTTGATAAAAGAATTTTTTCTCAGAAAATTATTCATCTTGCCTTGTATGGAAATTCCGTATAATGCTTAATTTTTTTTTTTTTTTCGGCCAGTCTTATATTGCTTTCTTGAAATTCATATAAACAAGTAAACACATTTTGAAATATGATGAAAGATTGTCCTGATCTTCACCATAACTTTGAAGATCTATGTATGAAGCTATAAATAATTTATTCAAAAACTAGTGTTTTTTCTATTATCTTGTATGAAATTCAAGATAACGCTTTATACCCTCCTTTGATGTTTGGTAACCTACTTCAGGACATGCTTACGGCTCCAACCTTTTCGTTAGAAGCGAAACAGAAGCAAGCTGTTGGATTAAATGCTGTACAAGTTTACAGTTGCAAGTCCTTCATTTCATCATTTTGTATATCACTCAATCTCATATATTAATTTCTTGCCATTTTCCCTTTCTATATATTAATTTCAAGCTTTTTCTGTCTGTTTTTCCCTAGATGTTGTACCAGGTGAAAGATCATTTGTCACCATCTTAACGCTGCTGCAAAATAGAAGGAACTGGTGGCTTCTCACGTTCTCAATTGTAAACATTTGCAATTCTACACTCCCCTAAATTACCTGTCAAGCCATAATGCCTGATGAAGACCCTAGTGACCATTTCTTTGGTTCTTCTGGAAGCAAGACCAATTCAAGCTCTAGAATAAAAGGCTTAAGCATGGTTGTAAGTCCTTTGTCTTCACTCTCTCCTTGCCTGGTTTTCTTTTTCCTTTATATTAAATATTTTTATAATTGATGCCTTTTCTGGTCATATCATTTCCTAGATACCATACCACCTGGAGGATCACGTTGTTCCAAAATTTAAAACTGCAGCTAAGAAGACTAAAAAGAAAATAGCTCACTCTGGGAGTGAACTAAAGTGGAATTGTAAATTTCACTCCTCTGCAGAACCCCAGTCTCCTTCTGAATTTGCTTATATCATCTTGACCAACTCTATAGTTGCCTAGGTTTCCTTGTGTAATATTTGTTGGCTCTATACTTTGTGTCTTGTCTGTTTTGTACTTTGTTTCTTGTCTGTTAACAGAAACATGTCAAGAATTTCTCTTTGTATTAATCATTGAAAATGTGCCAGATTCTGTTACCCTTGATTCTGCTCCAAAGTTGTTGAATGTATTTCCTTGGCTCAAAATTTTTTAAGTAAAGATATTTTATTTCGTGTAAAGCTCATATTTCCACCAAGAGAGCAATATATATATATATATATATATATATATATACATATACACTTACTTAAGCAGCTTATATATATAGACAGCCTAGGGAATTACCGTAAGGAACTTAATTTGGAAGTTGAAAGATGCAGATTGGCTGGCCTTTATACTTACCTTAAGCAACTTGGGCTTTCCCCCATGAAACACTCCTAACCATGGGAAAAAGAACACATGGACACGATAGAGAGAATATTTTTTGGTCCCTTCATGTTCAAGATGCATGAATATTTTAATCAAACAATTAATTATGAACTGAAAAACCCATGTAATCTTTTAGAATTAAATGTTTAGATGGGGAACTTAAGTCAACAAAATATGCAGTTTAAACTGAAGTTGCTGGAACATTATTGAAAAGGGTTCTACTTTGGGAATTTGTTGTTACAATCAGTTAAAAATGAATATTGATATGTAAATTTCAAATTCGTTTGCAGGTACCCAGATTTCTGCTCAAGAAACCAGGCATACCTCTATATCTCTATCCAAAATAAGATTCTTCATTGTCTTAAAATGGGTATATTATTAAAAAATCTCATGTATGTGGAAATTTGGGTTATGAATGTTGACTATTATAGACTTCTTTTTTGTTATTTTTATTATTTTTTGCAGCATTGACCTGGGGTTTATGAGTAGGACTCTTTGAATTACATTATGAAATTACTTTTAACAAGAAGTAATAAGAAAATGAAGAATTTGTTCCCAAAATATCAGGTAACTTATTGACAATTGCTTGTTAGAAAATGTTGGAAATGGAACAGTCAAAATGCATGATCTTGTAAGAGATATGCCTGTTCCCACCACCCAGGAGGTCTATTCATCATAAACCAATATTTCAATGAGAGCCAGAAGAACAAGGAATAGGTGCCAGTACAGTCAAAATTTTTTCACTGAATTCACTGTTTCACTTCTTAACAAGAAGCTTTTTCCCCTTTGGACTAGAAATCTAAACTAAACGTTCAATAGAAATCTGGTTTCTACAGAAAAATCAACATTGAAAACTTCATTTTTCCACACACAAAAAAGAAAAAAGAACCAAATACTAGAATATGTATCTAGAAATGATACCATGTACAATTCAGTTATGAACATATTAGAATTAAACCAATTTGAACTTTGTTCGGCCACTTTTTTTGACATGATAAAATGAAGACATCAAAGTGTTGTTTGGTCTTTTGCACATGTAATCTAATAGACTTCAACCCTATCATCCGAACTTGCTTGGTCCACATCCTTGAAACGGAATCGACAATAATTCAATCATTATAGCAATAGTATTACTATTGTTTCACACATTTTGCTGCTATTACAACACTTATCTCATTGGAATCTGAACATTTCGGCTTCTTTTTATTTTTTTTTTCACACTTTTAATTCGTAAGACAGTAGTAATAGTTTAAACTACCAATTAGGCTCTACAAACAAAGTAGACAATTTACTCAAGATCAGAGTCAAATGTCAAAACAAATTTTTAAGATGATATAGCAAAAGGAAATACCTTTGAAGTAAGAGACTCAAGCCGCCAAAGTGACTACTTCCTCTTTGGCAGGAGTTTTAGCTTCATCTACAACAAAAGCATCATTATTATTACCTGAAATAACATATGCTAGGGAACCAAAAATCATAGCAATTTGAAATTTGATCAAAATTGTATTCCATTGTTCGGGAAAATGCATTGAATTAAATGGTTGCAGAATCAATTGAGATGGTGTTCAGCTCCCATCCAATATTCAGCAATTGAGTATTGTTAACTGCATTGTCGATTTTTGTGAAGAAGATGCATTTTTTTTTATGGTTTTATCCCATTGCTACATGACAAAATTTCCTTTGTTCAATATATTTATATAAGAAATTGTAGAAAAATAACGAAGTTGTCCATGTTTAATGGATGTTGCGGAACCTAAGAGATTCGGAAGTGTTAAAGTGTTGAGGAATGTGAAGAAATTGAGTAAATAACAGCAGTGGAATAAAAAATGCTGGAAGAAGGAACAGTTACCAGGAACAACATCAAATTTACTCTTGCCAAATTAAGTTATTTGAGATGCTCTTCTCTACCAAAATTGAAGAGCATTTGTAGCACAAATGGAGTAATTGTCTGTGATTCTTTCCAAGAAATTTGGATAAGGAATTGTTGAAAATTAAAGAGGATTCCTCTGCATCTTCCCCTACTTAATGATGGCCATCCTTAAACTCCTCCTATCCATAAAAACTATATAAGACCAAAAGTTTGGTGGGAATGGGTGGAATTGGATCATCCCAATGCCAAATCTCTATTGGAGCCCTTCCTAAAGTTCTACCGATTGCCAATTTATACAAACTAGTTTTCTTTTACGTGTTATGCATATTATGTGATTATTAACCTAATTATAATTATATTATAATAAAATAATTTTAATACTTTTATGGTAATAAAATTCAAATAACTATCATCATACTAAATTAAATTGAAAATATAAATTTAAGTTTGAAAAAAATAAATATAACAAAAATTTTAAATTAAAATTTCAATAAAGAATAAATATTTAATATTTCTCTATTTTGATTTTTTTTAGAAGTTATCTTTTAAGTCTTTTGGTTTTAGGTCATCACCTTATTCATTATATATATATATATATATTTATTTATTTATTTCTTTTTTCTTTTTTAATTTTTTCAGAGAACTGTCTTCTATCACAATTAAATCAGATTTTATACTTCTCTTTTTTTTTTTTTTTTCTATTTTATACTTTTTCTTGAGCTTTTTCTTTTAACTTTTTTGGTAGTGGATTTTTATTTTCAATTTTATAAATTTTTGAGACAATCAATCATTGTTAAGCTCATTTGAACTCTTGCTTTTCATCTATTTATTATTTAAAATTTAAATTCTTTATTTTGATTTGAAACCATATTGTTATAAAGTTTTTGTTGCTCGAAATAAAGTAAACATATAATTTTTTTTTCATGATCACTTACTTTTGTTTTTGATATGCACTTATTTATGTAATATAAATCATTTTGTAGTTTCATTTTATAGTAAAAAATGCATACTTACATAAATTTTACTAATTAAAAATATTAATTTATAAACATATTCTAAAAAATAGGATTTGAAGCAATTAAGAACTATTAATATCTTGATATAATCATCAATTATGTTTATTTATGTATTTACAAGGGATATTGACTAAAACTATTTTTAATATTGAATATTGATTTATTAAAAAGCCACTAAATATGCATAACTTACAAAAATATGTTATAATAAGAGTTTAAATAACACACTTTACTTAAAGGTATATCTTATCATAATCAAATAGGTTTTTTTTTATGCTGTTTTTTAAATATTGAAATACTTTTCTCAATTAACTTTGGTTCAATATTATTATTGTTTGTTAAATAATGAAATATAAGAATTCTAAAATTAATAAGATATGACCCATTTAAGATAAATATCAAAAGATATTATTATAATTTGAAGGTAAACTATGTTTTAGTTTTAATCTTAGGCTTTAAAATTGATAATAAATATATTTTTAATATTTGAACTCTTTTTTAATTAAAATGGAGTAATGTTTTTATTCGACAAACACTTAATTATATATCTAGTATAAGTCATAAAAAAAATTCATCATTTAACCAATATTGTTTAAAAATTATAATTTATAGAATTCATACTATTGTTAGTATTATTAAATCATATATTTTAATTTAAAATATTATGTACTTGAGAAAATAACTTATAGGTAATTTTTTTTATGGTATTGTGTAATAAGTTTAGACTCATTATTTCTTTCTTTCTTTTTAAAAATATCTTTAAAAACAATAATTTTTTGTATAGTTACTGTCAGTGTTATAATGGCTACTACATAAAACGACAATTTATTTTTAATAAAGATATAGCATTAATCTAGTTACCTTTAATTTATTATCAAGTAGACAATCAATGACATACAAATTTAGATAAAGTCATTCCAAAGTTTCACTTCAAAAATTGACTTTTTTTTTTTCAATAAAAGTATGTTGTTATAGTAATTGGTATATGGATATTGTTTTAATTAATTATATATGTGTACAATATCCACAAATTTTTGTAATTCAATACCTTAGTATTAAATTACAATAAATATAAATTTTTAAATGAATCAAATATATTACACATATTAAAAAAATATAGCTCTAAATCAATATTCAACCAAAAAAAAAAACTAAGTTAGTAATGATGTATTGCTACTATATATTATCGATGATTTATTACTAATTAGTTATATCACTAATTTACTATTAAAATATGAATAATTTATTTTTAAGTTATCCACATTTTACTATTTTACTACTAAGCTAAAACTGATTTATTATAAGTTATCATTAGTTTATTGTTATCATTGATTTACAACTAAATTATAACTTATTTATTATTAAGTTATTAATAAATTACAATTAAGTTAACATTTATTTATTATTATAACTAATTTATTACTAGGTTTTGACTTTACTCTTGCTAATAACCAGAGTTTAATCCGTAAAAACTTCAAGTATAAAAAAACTTATCATTGATTGATAACTAAGTTATCATTGATTTATTACTATGTTATCAATGATTTATTATTAAATTATCAATGATTTACTATTAATTATGAATGATTTACTACTAAGTTATTAATAATTTATTATAAAGTTATAACTAATTTTCTATGAAGTTATCAATGATTTACTACAAAATTATGAATGATTGACTAATTTACTACTAAATTATCATTAATATACAACTAAATTATAAGTGATTTATTAGTATATTATTGGTGATTTTCTACTAAATTCAATGATTTACTATTATATTATTATGCATTTACTAATTACCGTTGATCTATTACTAACATTTTAATAATTAGCTATTAA